TCTTACATGGCAAGATTCCTGGAACAAAGTAATTATACTACAGAGAAAATTATTTGGAAAATAATGTATTTGCCTTCGCACACCTCACATAAGACGCCGATTCCTATTTTACAAGGATATTTTGTGGGGGACAAAATTTAGTAAGTTTCGTCACATATTTATTGAAATATATTAAAAGTGGTTTTGTAAGGGAAAATGTGTGATTTCGTACATGTAAATTCTTCTCTATATGCTGTGTCCCTTCAAAACATAGGTGATCATGGCTCTCCATAATTTCCTGTCCTTTGTGCATCTTAATAAATATTGACTTTTTGTTATTTTTCCTAAACCTTGTTCCACCATCCATTTAATCAAGCTCACTAAGTGGATTATGAGTTGTTTTCTTTTGCCCCTCTTGCTTTCAATCTGTTCTGTGAATTACCAAGCTCTATTTCCTCATTATGTGCCCTACAAATTTCAACTGCTTCTTTCTGATGTTAATTATACATTTCCTTTTTGTTTCCATTTTCTCCAAAACCTTGTCGTTGCATGTATGTTCAGTCCAAGGTATACTCAGCATCTTTCTGTAAAACCACATTTCTGTTACATAAAGTCTCTTCTTCATCTATGAAAAGATTGTCCAGCCTTTACTGACATATAGGAGGACTGATATCATGTAACAGTTCAGTACTCTTTTCTTTGTTTCTAACAAAATTGTTCTTTTTGTTAATATTCTACTTAATTTTTGGAATGGAACTTTAGCTATCCTAATGCAGATTTCAGTGTCACACTTTCTGTCCACTGTTAAAACACTTGTCAGATATTTCAATTTTTATATTTGTCTGATTTTGGTATCATCAAATATTGTAACAGTCAACTTGAATAAAATATGGAATCATATATTGTAACTTTAACCTTTAAAGGAAACTAAATAAAATTTGCAAGAGTAGAAAAAGAAGTATTGGTTCATTTGTATCAATGAAGACTGGTACATATAAACAGTTAATTTGATCTTCAGTACTCCAACTTTTCTCTTAACAAATTCTGTTCAATGAGCCAGAAACTGGTCCCAAGCTAATAAGGCAAGTTTCTTTAATAAGCACCCCAGGATGCCTGGACCACACTTTATCAAGTCACAGTTTAATTCCTTCCACATCCATCCAATTGGTTGAATGGACATGAACATAAATACCATTTGGTATTCTTTTTTCAGGTAATTTTTCTCTTTTAAAAATTAAAATAGATGGCAGTTTTCTGCCATTTGCACAGCATTCTAATACAACTGTGTGATGTTTCTTTTCATGGCCATATATTTTAAGTCAGATTTAGCACCCTTGCATTCTACTATGATGTCTGATGGCACATTGAATGTCAAAGGGACTTTGTCCATATCCACTATTTGTTTAAAATGTTCTTCTTCCAAGCATAATACAGGTGTACTAAGTGCAGAGCATTTTTTTTTTTTTTTTGTACATTTAAAAATAAAAAAAATATGTCTTATGTAAAGGCAAATATAGTAATAAACATGCCATACAAAATAAATATGATGTTGTTTTAGAGGAATTGAATGAAATAATTTAATCATGCTAATATTTGTATACAGTACACAAAATTACAATAACCGTTGTTGTCTCAAAGGTGAAAAAGTGAGAAGACAAGTTTGGGATAAATTAGATAAACATTGTCCAAAATTAAGTATTCAATGAGAAACACAATAAATATTCATTTGAGTAAATAATATTTATCAGAATATATAATTTTCACTCTTTTTAAATTTTTTTTTTTTTTTTAAAATGGGGTTTATATATAACTTACAATTCATATTGTACATTCATTATTACTAGAATCTCTCTTGTTTTCTGTCACAAATTTGCATCTGTTAGAAATGCATACAAAAGTTGATGGTGTTCATTTTCTAAAACAATCATGACATGTCTGAAAACTAAAATGATTTTGATAAAACCATTAACCCATCAATGTCTGCCATAAAATTTGCCATTAATTGTAAAAATTAAAATAAAATCTGATATTGATTGTAAATCTTTTTTAAATTCATTATTATGGGTTTATAAAAAAAAATGTAGTCTGTAGCTTTACTATAACTATTTTCATGATAATTGTTCAGATGAGCTTTCAATTTATATCTCAACTTTGCTAATTTAAGTTCAGTATTATAATCCCTGTTGAAATTGTAAGTTCTATGCTAATAGTTTCTTTGTCCACACTTTTTGTGGAACGCTTTTCCAGATTCCTGCTTTTCTATCAACTACAGTCTTCAAAAATGTAAATGCAATGTCACTCATAATTTCTGTTTCCTTGAACTCTGTTCTTTTATTACCCTCTATGTTTCTTTCACTCTCAGTAACCTCTTGCATCTTAGTGGCTTTATCACCTTGCTTTAGGTCAAATGATTAAAAGAAAAGAAAAAAATCAGGTATTATAGTTTTCTACCTGTAACCCATTAATGTCCACCATTTAAAAAATTGCACAGTGGGCATTAATGGCATAATTTGTAAAATATTCATCCAACATTTTTGGGCTTTACCTAAATGAAAGTTTTTCCTTTTTTTGGTTTTCTATTTAGTAATAAGCATTAGAAACTTAACAATTGTTATAGAGCTGCAAACCCATTGAATTGCAGTCTAACATTGTACTACTAAGTGCTACTTTAAAGTGCTTCAAAGTATCTGAATAGTTATGAATGTCATATGAAGTGCCCGAGTAGCACTTAACTGTAATTCATTTCCTGATAACTATATCAAGCTGTCTGTTAGAATTATCCATCATCTGTTAAAACAATCACCAGATATTTAAATTTCTACATTTGCTTGATTTTAACATCTTCAATTCTATCTCTCTGATTGTAAGCAGAAGTGTCCTTTTAGTTCCCAAAACTTCCTCATTGCTCACATGCTCTGCCAATGATATTCTCATCATCCTTCTGTAGAACCACCTTTCTGTTGCCTCAAGTCTCCTTGTCAACTGTGAGAAAATTGTACAGCATTCACTGACATATAATAGAGCATTCACTGACATATAATAGGATTCATAGTACATAGCAGTTCAGTACTCTTTTCATTGCTTACACATGCACACACACACACACACACATATATATATATATATATATATATATATATATATCCAAACAAGTTTGATTAAATTTAACTGACAAACTTTAGAATAAAGAATGTGCATAGGTAGGAAAAATGCACAAAAAGGAATGTAAAACCTTGTTTCAGATGTGGAAAATTACATCTTGGGAAAAACTGTCCATGGAAAAGTGCAAAATGCTACAACTGTAATAAAAAAAAAAAGGACATATCAAATCACACTGTAGAATTAAACCAAGATAAAACTTTTGCAGGAAGAAAATTATACACAATATTGTGACAGAAAAACAGGCATATGAAACAAAAGAAAATTTGTTAATGTGCAAATCAATAATAAGGGAATAAAAATGTTACTAGATACTGGTGTTACTAGAAACCACATGGAAAAAAATTGGAAAACCTTTATTAAAAAGGATTTACAAAGTTGCAACTTCAGTTTCTGGCAAGAAATTATTTTTTTTGGAAGAATTAACATGTGATGTTTATTTTTTTAAATAAGCAGGTAAAAACAAAAGCTTATGTTCTAAGAAATATGACAAATCTATTCGGTATGGACTGGATAGAACTGTTTGAAATATGGGATTTGCTGATAAATGCTTATTGTAAAAACATAAGTAGACAAGCAACAAATTTAAAAAGTCACAGCGAAAAACTGAAGGAAGAATTAAAAATGTTTCTCTGATGTTCTGTCTAACGAACTGGATTGGTATTCAAAATTCAAGGTGAATTTTCAAGTAAAAAAAAAAAAAAAGGTTTGGCACTAGTATTTAGACCAAAATGGAATATACCATTTGCAGCATCAGACCAAGTAAATGAAGAGTTGGACATACTAGAAAAAAATGGTGTATTGCAGAAAATAAACCTTTCAAAATGGGGTGCACCAGTGGTGTATGTAAAGAAATAAAAATGATAAAATATGTGTTTGTACGGATTTCTTGACTGGATTGAATAGTTGTCTTGAAAAACAGAACTACTCATTACCAAGTCCAGAAGAAACTTTTTTGAAGTTGAACGGCAGGAAAAAAAAGTTCAATATAAAAGGCTCTAAAATAGTATATGAGCATTCTCTTCTTTGTTTCTAATGACATTTTCTTGTTTCTTAATACTTTGCTTAGCTTTTGGAAGGCACCCTTTGCTATTCCAATGCACCCTTAGATTTTGGTGTAATTTTTTCCATCCTCTGTCAAAATACTTCCAGATATTTAAATTTTTGTACTTGCTTAATTTTGTCATCTCCAATTAATAGCTTTCATCTTGGATTTATTTTTTTAATTTTTTTTTTGCTTGCTAACAACTGTATATTCTGTTTTCTTACAATTAATAGTACTTTCTTTCCACTTTCCTTTACTACTTTGTCTTGACGGTACTGCTGTAGTTTTCTTTATAGTAAATAATTATAATATGGGAAACAAATATACAGATCACCAATAAATATCATTAGTATCCACAAAAGTTCTGCTTCTTTAATGTTTACAACATTTTTAATCATAACTACTTCCCTTTTTATCTTCTGATATAGAACTTTGTGCTTTGATTTAATAATTTATAATAATAATAATAACTTATGTAATGGAATAACCTGTCAACCCCATGAGTGACTACACTATAGGTAGTAACTCCATATAAGTATCTGTAAGTCACCAGACTACAGAGACTAGTTGGGATCTGTTGAATATGACTCACTTACGTGAGAACTACCGACCTTCCAATAGTAGCACTCACTACTGGATTGACTTGCAACGACCTTGTGCATAACTGTTACCTTTATTCTTATTGTACTGGTTTTTACAATAAACCTTTACTTATTTTATCCACTTTGTTTTTCAAGTATATATTCCTATTAGCATGGAATATAACAATAACACAGATTGTTAACATCAGGTAAAACACCTACTACAGTAAATTACTGGCCATATTACATTGAAACACTGTTTCTCATATGATCACTGAAGTTAAGCAATGCTGAGCCTGGTCAGTACCTAGATGGGTGACTGTTTGGAAATACCAGGTTTGGATGTGTGGGTGGTGTAATGGATAATGGCTCAGAATTGGAAATTGAAGAGCCAAGTTCCAATTCTAGTCAGGTTTGTTATATTCACTTATGTGCAAAAACCCTTGGGAAATGTATGAATCTGCCTATTCTCTCCTCGGATATGGGTTAATCAGTAAAAATCATTATTTTCACAAAAGAGTTTTTAGAATCCAAAAATATTTTCTGGCTTTAGTCTACCTATGCATATGATTTAGTTATAGTGGAGAAGTCTTGTGTAGAAGCATACACATTTTTTGGAAAAAACATAGCAGAGAAATGGTGCACAGTGTGCCACAAAGTCTCCAAACAGCCCTCCTTAAATTTGAATCCAGTTTTCCTCCTCCGAGACTGCTTGCCAACCAAGTCTAGGAAACCCATTCTGCATTGATATTTAATCTAAACTGTAGAAAAACATCTTCAGTGGCATTAGTGTAAAGCAAACAAAATAGAATGGACTGAATTTGAACTCAGCTCAGTGATTCCACTTTCCACACTGGTGATTTTAACACTATCCACACACCCTTAAATACAGACAAAAAAGATTGATAAGCTGTAAAAAAAACAAATCAATCAATCTGAACTGCAGTGTACCTGGGAAACTTGAAGTCAGAAAGATAAGTCTTTCAAACTTTTCTTTATCTATTCAATATATTTTATATTAAATATATTTTAAGTGTGACTAGAATCAATATCTAATTAATATAATTAAGCTATTAACATGCAAAAAAGATATTTGAAGAATTATAATGGTAAAGATTCAATGAAGTTATTTCAAACAGTGTTTATGCTCTTGAACTAATGCAAAATATTTTGAAGATGTATACAGATATTTACTAAAATCAAAGAACCTGAGCATCCTTCTCACTATAATAATTAATTTGATTAATTAAAGCCTTGATGCACTTCTCTTTAGAATTATTAAAACGGAATACATTAGGCATTTATTATGGAATTTCAAGTAATTAACATTTCTTTACATAGAACTCAATGAGTTCAATAGCAACCAACTTCGTATTAAAATAATAATTAATATATATATATATATAAAATAGCTGGGCACTCATATTTGAGGATACCTCTCTACTAGGGCAGCTAGCCAATCCCTATTGCAGACGCTCGCTCAGGCACATTTGTGTTCAACACCCACAGTCCACCTGTGGTTTATACTGCAACTATGCTGAGCAGACCTTAGTTACAGTTTCTGGGAGAGAGCATGTTATCTAGCATAATCAACAATCTGAACAAGGCCATGATAACTTGTGGCTTCCTGTTAGCAAAACTATTGGCAACCAACAAGAGTTCCATCTGCCCAATTTAACTCACAAGGCTTGGATCAACTTTCCTAAGGTGCTGTACGCTAGGATTTACCTTGATCCAGTCTGATGACATCAGGAAGTCGCCTTCTTGACAAATAAACCATGCTGAGATTCGAACCCAGCTCTCATGATCAGAAAGCGATCATTCTAACCACTTGGCCACATGCTCATTATATATATATATATATATATGTGTGTGTGTGTGAGTACAGTGGATAAATTGTCATCTAAATTACACAAAAATGAACAGAACATTTTAACATATTTTTACCAAAATTACACAAAAATATCTCGAATTATTAAAGAGTAAATTTATTCAATAAAATCAACATTGGCTTCAACCACAGCCTCCAGATGTCTTCGGAATCTTTTGCAACTCTTCTGGACAGTCTCCTTGTTTATGTTGGTAAATGCTGCCATAATCCTTTCCTTCAGTTTATCTTTGGTATTACAAGGAGTTTTGTTGGTCTCTTGTTCAACTGCACCCCACACATATTAGTCAAGGGGGTTGTAGTTTGTGGTGTTAGGTGGCCAGATATAAGGGGTGATGTGGTCACAAAAATTGTCTGACTACTCTCACAGTATTCTCCTACTTGTGTAGCATGGTACAGAGTCCTGTTACCAAACATAGGGTCTTCCAGTAGCCTCCCTCTTGACCCAGGGCAGCACTACCTCCTGAAGTCACTTTATGTAGGCCTCCATATTGAGTCTGACACACTCATCCACAAATTTAGGAGTTCATTTCTTATCAGAATGATCAATGAATTTTCTGAACTGCCATACATTCATAATCACCATTAGATTCATACAACTCTTTCTGAATCCTCTGCACTGTCCTCAGATTGACACCCAAACACTCTGAAATGTTTGTATGGGAATTTCTGGTGTGAATGGAAGCTGTACAACATGCCGTTTCCAAATTTTTGATGTAGTGAACTGCGTCATGGTGCTCTTTTTTTTCTGTGTGTGTGTGTGTGTAATATATATATATTACATGAATCATTCATACAAAAAACAGATATAGAAGTTAATGATATAAATGGTGAGAATACATCTTCGCAAACAAATTTAATAAAGTACATTAACCCCAAACCTGTAGATGAATGTTAGGATCCCTGTTTATAAATTCCAGTTGCATAAGGTCTTTTTTTAGTTTTTTTACAAGCTTTCATCTGTTCATACAGACATCATCAGGTATGGAAATAGATTTGTTTTTGTTTTTTACTTCTCGGTAATAACAGAAAATATAGATGTAATCCAAAAATTGTTTTTAGAAATGTGTTATTGTTAATTAGAAGAAAAAAAAAAAAACAATTGGACAATTTTTATATAATTTATCATCTGAATAGAAAAAAATTATTAGATCACATGAGAAATTGTATAAAAAAAAACTAAATCAAAGCACCTTGTCTGTTGTATTTAATGAAATGTGCACACACACACATATATATATATATATATATATATATATATATATATACACACACACACAAAGACCAATAATATCAAGAATTCACCTTCCTGACGGACCGACCATCGTGAGAGTTAAACCCAGTTCTCATAGTTGGAAATCAATATACATAATATTAAATCAAATCTTTTGTTTATATTTCCTAAATGTAAGTAAAAGGCATGAATTGTTTTGAAGAAATATCTTTGATATATTGGTTTTGTCATTACACATTTTCTGATGAATTAACTTGTCTGTGCTTGTAGCCTTTAGTGTGTTGTTTAAAAGAGATTATTTAAAGAGAAAATTTAATACAATGTTTTATCTTTAAAATGCCTCTTTGATTTAGTAAGAACTTACTGGACATGTCAACAACAACAATGTTTTAGAGAAAATGGAAATCAAAAGAGCTTTTATAATTAACATCAGAAAGAGACAGTTGAAATTTTTTGAACGCATAACGAGGAAAGAGAGCTTGGAATATTCGACACTCACAGGACATTGAACTCAAGGAGGACAGAGGAAAACAGTGTATAATCTACCTAACAAACTTGAGTAAGTGAATAGCAGAACAAGGTTTAGAAGAGATAGCAAAACGACAAAATTTACTCAGAGCTACAAAGGACAGGAAATTGTGGAGAGCCATGATGACCAATGTCCTGAAGGAGTATGGGAGAAGAAGAATTTTAATTTATCTTTTTCATAGCTATCTAGACAGTAAAATTACTTTTTTTCTTGTTACAAATACAAAAATATAACCATCTCATGGCAGTTTTACTTTTGTAATTCATGGCTGAGTGATTAGAATGTTAACATTCACATTCCAACCAAGAAACCTGGGTAAATTTTCACTGTGCTAACCTCTTGATAATATCAGCTGGAATGATGATTCAAGCCTATAACAGTGTTGAGAAATGTCTGAAAACTATAGTTGACTGAAACCTTGTGAGTAAAGGTGGGTAGATGAATCTACCCAGCAATGGTTGCGATTGCACAAAGTCACAAATCATTGTCACTGAGGGTTTGAACATACTGGTCTTGATCAATTACTGACCATGCCATATTATGATCTCTCTCCCAGAAACTAAGTAACTAAGGGTCACCAAGTATAGTTGCTATAGGTTGGCTCTGTGAGAGTTGAAGAAACACAAATGTGCCTGACTAAGCATCTGCAATAGGAATTAGTTTGCTACTTTTCTATAGTCTTTCAAGACAGACTGATACCTACTTACTTATATAGCTATGAGAATATTTAATTTATAAGTTAATCACAATACAGGATTAAGTACAAAAATAATAATTATTATTTTTATTTTAACAAGATTAATTGATTTGTCTTTTTTTACACTTTATCAATATTTTGCAAGTAATATAAAGCCAGAAAATACTTTTAGATTGTGGGATTTTTTGGGAGATATGCATTTTTATTGATACAAGTTCTAACCCATAAGGGAAGAAGAAGTGAAGCCAAACCTTTCCCAAGGGTATTTAGCACATAAGTGAATATAACAAACCCAACTGAAATAGAACATGGCTTTCCGATTTCCAATTCCCAGCTGTTATCTATTACACCACCTTCACACCCAAACTTACACCACCTGGTATTTCCAAATAATCACAGATGCCTACTATATAGCCATCTATACAGAGCAAAAATCTTACACTATCAGAATTTTTTTTAATTTTTTCTGCAGCAATAAGGTTTTTTCCTTGCTTTTCTTTTCTTTTTCAATGTACCAAGTCCTTTCAGGATGTTGACATTCATGGCTTTCCACAATTTCCTGTCCTTTGTAGCTCTTAATAAATTTTATCTTTTTGGTATCTATCCTAAACTTTCTTCTGCAATCCATTTACCCAAGCTTCTTAGATAAGTTATGTGCTGTTTTCCTCTTTCCCTCTTGCCTTCAATATATCCTGGGAATGTCAAATTTTCAAAGCCTCTTTCTTCATTATGTGTCCTAGAAATTTCAACAATCTCTTTCTGATGTTAAGTTTCCTTTTTGTTTCCATTTTCTTTAAAACTTCATCATTGCTCACATGTTTGGTCCACAGTATTCTCAGCATCCTTCTGTAGAACCATATTTCTGTTGCTTCAAGTCTCTTCTTCATCTGTGAAGAGATTATCCAGCATTCATTGCCATTTAAACAGGATTAGAAGTTTATCCCTTGTTTCCTGTTTAGGATTAGGTTTCTGGTTCCTTCCAGTAGTCCC